CTTAGTAACCAACACATTTGCATTATAGTGAACACATGCTTCTGTATAGTTCATCCAGCAGGAACTAAAGCTTCAGGGCTTGGAGGGTCTTCTATTCACCGTCACCCAAGAACTCAAATTGCAACTAGAAGCTTTTTTCTCTTGTGTCATTTTGAGACTTGCACAAAGCAGATATATGGCTTCGTACCAGTAGCAAGAGGTAGCCATGGAAGCCCTTGTTGACTCCTGCAGACAAAAGACATTTATGGTTAATATATATTGCTAACTTTGATAGCAACATAACTTGCAATAATGTCTTTGAAGACCTTGCTAACTCATTGTCAAGAAGTGCATTTCCTGTAAGCTGTCCATTGTCTTCCATGAATATTCTTGCTTTAGATGGTCTTATCGGTGTTATACGGGGAATAGCTGAAAGGCTGCCACAACCTGCATTATTTCACAACCAAACTTTTGTCAACAATTCTCAAAGCAACAAACTGTTTTCACCGCAAGCTGCCGCAAATTACCATCCAGCACTGCCGCCGCTACTACAAATACAATTGGAACAATCTATCAGCCTCTGAAAACAGAGCGAAATAGTTCAAAAAAACATGGAACCAAACACCTCTCAGGCATCTCCTCGAGTTTTGGACAATGCACTGTTGCTTTACCCAGTGGTCTTGGATCCTTTATGTCTTCAGCAAGGTCCCTGTGCTCATTAAAATTATTTGACAGTCACTTTGGACGGAATTTTTCCAAAGCTCTTTTCATGACTCCTGTCAATGTTTCCTCTAGCATATTTGTCCTTGACCTTTCTGAGAATGAAATAGCAGGATGCTTTTCTCACCTTAACAGGAGACTATCAAGTGGTTCTCATTTGTCTGTTGGAATTGGAAAATCTTTACAACTGTTACGCGTACTCAGCCTGAGGGGGAACAGTTTACGGAAAGATGATGCAGAAAGTCTTGGATATGCTCTTGCATACGTGCCTAACTTGGAGGACCTAGATATAAGTGACAATCCTATTGAGGATGAAGGTATCAGGCCTTTATTCCCATATTTTGCTGGAACATCTGGAACATGCTGCCGTGTGGCTTCTTTGAAACTAGAGGCTTGTGACTTGTCCCATGATGGAGTTAATCGTCTTCTTGATTCCTTCCTCCCCTTAAAACTTCAGCTCCTGTAGGCTAGAAGAGGGTTGTTGTTCGTCTTAAGTTTGATACTTTAGTGGCTCCAAAAGTCTGTTGTTATATTTATTCAACCGAACCTGAAAATGCCATTTGGATAGTCAGAATTGATCTTGAAATGTTAGTTGAACGGAATATGGAGTAGAAATTGCCAATAGATTGCAAGCACAATTGAAAGTCATGACAACTAAAGTGTAGCTTTTCATTATAAGAATCTCACCTGGCTCATGAAAACTGCTACACCTCAGAAGAATCCTGGTGGCTTTCCCGATCCTCACGACATTGCCAATCCTGGATATACGAACATTGATCACTATCAGTTGGAAGTACGTAAAATCGTACATAGGCCACGTTGAAGTCAGATATCAGCAACGTCTGCAATTCACGTATCAGATACAAGCTTGTTTCTTTTCTGGAACGCTTGATTCTTCCCCGGCCCAAAACAGATTGTTATCCACACCTGCAAAACGCAAATCTCGAATTAGCAAAATCCTTTGAAGAATATACCTTTGGAATATCCAATCCAAATCCAAGACATTGAACCTGGACAGATAAATATTTAACGAAATTGATACAGAATCAGAGATTGATTTTTTCCTTTAACAGGCATTTAACGAAATTGGTCGAAAGAGGAAAGTTTTCAGATTGGCTTATACCAAAACGAAAAATCCAATCAGGCTTTCAAAGCATATTAAATCAGTTTTCAAGCCATTAATTATCAAAAAGCCTATATAAGAGGATCAAAGGGAGAAGGAAAAGACACCGACAACTACCGCAAAAAAACCCTAAACTCGTAATTTCAAGAAATTGAACGAGGGGAACTTATCTTTTCAGTTCACTAGATCGACTCCGACCGCCGCAAGCACCAATTGACAACGCATCGTCTCCAGCACCACCACCATTAACCTCTGGTAAAACCCCTTTTCTCGTATAATTGTTTGAACCCTCTGATTTGTTTCATTGTGTTTCAGGTTGTACAGAAGGACGAAAGCCAAAGAGAGATGTGTGAAGAATGAATCCAAAAGAGATGCGATCGAGAGAGATGCGAGCGAGAGGGATCGAGCGATTTGAAAGGGGAAGACGGAGGGTTTGGGGTTTACAGCTTCCGCCATTTTTGCTTTCTTGCTACCTGTTATTGTTGCCCTTATGACTAATCCTGCTTCACACACACACACACACACACAACACTACACATTATCACACAAACCCTCTTAATCACTAATCACCCCCCTAATCCACCTGTTAATTGGCCTTTTCCTTATTTTAATCAGTATTAACCAACAGTTTTTTTCTAATCAACATTTATTCTTTTTTAACTAATTAACCATTTTTCTAAATAATTGATAATCTTTTATTAATTAGTTCTATCTTTTAACTATTTTATTAATTAGTCCTTAAATAATTCATCATGTTTGATAATTATTTATTTTTATCCCAACTTAATGAATCTCATAATCTTTTCAATAACTAATAACTTTTAATAATCAATTTTATCATTTAATTCAATTATAGTTTCTTAAATTTAATTATCTTATTTTATTTAATAATTTAGTTACTTCCCCTTTTTCTATTTAACACAAATTAACCTTTTATCTTAATAATTAGGACCTTTAAAATCTTTTATTCACTTAAAATTATTGATTGCCCTTTTTCTTAAAAAAAAAATAATTGTAAAAAAAAAACTCCCTTTTATATTTTAAATAACTTTATTTAGCAAACCAATATTAGTGATTGAAAATCTTTTATATAAAAAGAAATCTACTTTTATAATAACTAAGAAACTATTTCATCTTAATAAACAACCTTTTATAATAAATTGCATTTTATTTAATAATAATAACAAGCATCAACTTTTAATTAAATTGTTCCACATCTAACTAATTTGTTAAAATAAAACATTTTTATAATAACTTAAGTAGGAGAATAACAATTTTATATAGCAAAAGTCCCTTTTATAATTTGAATAACATTATTTCACTTGTTAATAATAAAAAAAAACTTTTTATATTAGAAAACCTTTTAAGTAAATTAACTTTTAATATGATAATAAACAACTTTACTAAAACGAATCTAATGCAACCTCTTTCTTAAAATTAATCCAACACTACCCTTAGAATCAAATCTCATCAATGACACCCCTTTTCAAGCAATCCGCTTAAAATCAATCAACATCGTAAATCCAATTCAATCACGCACACTTACACTTCACAATTCACTCACCTACACCCTAACGCTTTCATGCGTGTGTATGGCTTTACTTTCCGCAATTTATCTTTCTCGCATCGCATTTCGTCCAAAGGAAAAACCTACACATGAGTCAACACTTGTGTGTAGTGCACATTATTTGTATCATATTCCCCATGATCCTTGATCCCATTCAAATTGATCTCTAGGATAGATCCTACCCCATAGGAAGGATTGTTATCCTTTATAACTTAGATACAAACAATAGAGAAATAGATGTTAATCATCTTAAGCAAGACAGAATCTCCACCCCACATCAATACAACCAATACCATAGGAACTTTACCTTAAGAGAGATAGAGGCGTACATCGTCGATCAATATCCGAGTACTTGAGCCCTTCTCTTAAGACGATGCAAAGATTATTTTCCTACAACTTGTGGCGGTTAAATCTCTCTTAAAATGATAACGCATCTCTTCTCCTAAAATCAATCAATCAACTACCCTAAACCTGTAGAAACTTTGACCACAGTCAAAGAACTCCTCAAACCCTTTAGGGGAACTACAAATATTCTGATTCCACTCCCGTAAGGATATGTAGGCATAAGATGCGACATCTTATCGAGTATACTTAGAAATAGACCCCTAGGTCTTTTAACCTTTAAGCAGATAAACCTTAGCAATAAACAAACATAGAACAAGAGGTTCCTATAACTCTCTAAACCTTGCATTTGCATTGCATTGTGGGAATTTTGATCTTTATCCCTTCCTTTGGACAAATCAAAGTTCGGTTGCAAAATGAATAAGATTCAAACTAATCAATAGTTTGGTATCCAAATTTCACCGCGACACACCTCTCATTCCTTGATTAATTAACACTAACCGGTCTATCAATCCCAACTGCACATTGTTAGGAGTCTCTTTATACACCATACTCAAATCTTTGAATTGCTCAATCAATTCTAACTCTCGAACCATCAACATCGACATATGTAACGACTTCCTTCTCAATGCATCAGCTACAACATTGTCTTTATTGGGATGGTAACCGAAGTCAAAATCATAATCCTTTAGAAATTTGATCCATCTCCTTTGTGTCATATTCAAATCTTTTTGATTTAATAAGTACTTTAGACTCTTGTGGTAACTCAACATTTCAAATCTGAAATCAAACCGATAATGTCTCTAAATCTTTAACACAAACACCGTGAACAACCAATTTTAATTCATGCGTAGGATAATTCCTCTTATAAATTTTAACTCTAAATAAATTTATGGAATAATAAAGATGCCGAAGGTTATTCTATTTCTATATATTTAGCCCATTGTAAAGAAACGGCAAACTCTGCCACTGATTAAACGACAACGATTTGTACGTGGCGCATATGTATAGAAAACGTCACTCATTTCTGAATAATTAAAAGGATGTTTATCTTGAACGATACCTGACAAATCAAAATTATTTATATTATTATGTACAAATTTGACAACTATCCAGTGAATAGATTTTGAACCATTCAAAGTTTGAACTATATGCATGACATAACCTGTACAACAAATATCAAGTATTTAAACGATGCACATGCATTCATAATCATATGTAGTACTATACATTAATCTTCAAGAACATAGTTTAATTTTATCAGTGAAAATGTATGCAACAAGACTCCTTTCCATGTACAAAAGAAATCCAAGTGCTCTATCAGATCCACCGCCATCAGGGCCAAATTCAAGTTATCTTGTAATATTGGATGAGGAAGTTCAAAACTACTCTTGTTTTGGCTTGTGCAAGGACAATAGAATCAAGGATTTTCCTTTACCTCAGAACAAAAATTTAACCATCAACTATTCAGTAGGTGTGAACACAGACACAACAAGTGAAACCACCCGAAGTGAAGAAGCCATGTTCATTCCAGTTCTGAATCAACCATTGTCTTCTAATCGTTACTATGTTATAAGAAGGAAAGGGAAGAATCAAGGGTACGTATATGTATATATTATGTTATCATTTTTCTATATCAACCAACTTTTATAGAGAATGCATTATTATTGTTTAATTGATTTCAGACAAGCTAGCACAAGTTCAAAGGAAGAGGACATGACCACATGTTTATGCTGCAGTTTTGTTCATGATGTTAAACCAAAACCTTTGGAGCCCTTCAATGATTATCAACAGATTGAAATAATCAAAAGAGGTTATGGGTTTCGTGCGAAATCGGTTGCTTCAGATGGAATTCCTCCTGGTTTATTAAGGGAAAAAGGTTGGAAACTTGATGCTAGTACTCCACACAACTACCATTTAAGCCAAGCTTTAGGTTCAAATGATTCCTTACGCTCCAAGCTACCGAGTTTCAACTTTCCGTTGTCTAATAATTGTTCTGAATCAGTGATAGTTGGAAAATGGTATTGTCCTTTTATGTTTGTGAAGGAAGAAATGAAATTAAAGGAGCAGATGAAGATGTCAGTATTCTATGAGCTAACACTTGAGCAAAGATGGGAGAAGATGTTCTCAAAGGAAAATATTGAAGAAGGTGGTGTGCTTGTAGATGTTGATATTCAAACAGAAGTTGCTAAGGTTGCAGGAAAAGATGCTGTTTGGGATGAAAATAGATTGGTCCACGGAGTGGTTTGGTTTAAGAGTGGTGAAGATGTGGGAGAAGAAATGAGTGTTGGATTGAGTTTGGAAGTTGTAGAAGGAATGAAATGGGAAGAAGAAAGATTTGGATGGACTTCTGGGAAGGGAAGACAAGTGAGAGTAGCAAAATTTGAAGAGATTGGTGGTACAAACAAGTGGAAGAAATTTAGTTGTTATGTATTAGTTGAAAGATTTTCATTGAGAAGAGGGGATACTAGATTAGTTCTGACTTATGATTTCAGACATTCGCACCAAATTAGGAGCAAATGGGAATGATGATTTTCTGAAACGTTTTACTTAAATATTTGGTTTTGTTGTGGATTGTGTAATTGAGTATTTGATTATTGTTATTCAGCATTGTACCATGTAAAACTTACCTATGTAGTTTAGCTAGCCACAGTTGAAGTTAGAGCCAAAACATTTTGGATCTGTTATTGTGTATGTAAAAGAAGGCTCATTTTATGTGTTTTTTTAAGGAAACAAGATATGAATATATTGCGTTGATATTTTAATATAGTTGGTAGTAAAGGTGGTGGGGAACTTTCCTTTCTATTTTTTTAGATGTACTTATTAGGTGATAGCATCACCTATTTAAGGTTCTGTAGTTATGCTTTACACATGATTGAGGCTTAATGGATTAGCTATTGAGTGGCAAAGTTTATATCAAGTTTTGTTGTGTTCATATAAAGAAGTTTGACAATCTATCTTATATAGTGTTGGGGTGAGAATCGGATATTAAGCTATCGAGTTAATTTGAATCACAAATCTTTGAAATTTACCAACGAACATTGATTTATCCAAAGAAAAGGGTAAAGATCGAAAACCCTAATTGCAATGTAAAAACAATGCAAGAGATCTAAGGTTCGGGGATTGCTTATACCTAGGGAAAATATTAGCATCGTAAGTATCTGTATTATCCTACAAGAACCTCTTGTTTTATTTGTATTATTGTTAATTTGTCTGCTAAAGGGTGAAAAGGTAAAGGGAGACCTAAGGTGTTTATTTCTAAGTATGCTCGCCAAGACATCGCATCTCGTGCCTACGTATTTTGACGGGAATGGAATCAGAGTATTCGTAGTTGTCTTCAATAAGGGTGAGGAACTCTTGACTGTGATCAAGGTTCAAAAGGGAAGATGTAAGTATCCATGACAAGATACTTAAGAGTGCGGCGACTCTAAACCTAAGGCTAGGTTGAAAGGGAAGGAGAGATGTATATGGCAAAGAGTGCGTTCTTTATGTTTTGGGTTTTTTCAATTCTTCGTTTCTAATTTCTACCACTCTTTTCTTGTCTTTTTTTTATTTTAAATTTCACATTTACAAATAATTATTTTTAGTTAATTTTAAATTTTTTTTAAATACAAGAAAGAAATTCGTCAAAGCAAGACAAAAAAAATATCAAAGAGAAAATTAATTTATAACACTTAAAAAGTCGAGAATTAGAGATCCCCAACCTTAGAAGAGGAGTATTGCAGATAAAGTATCAAGTTCATCAAGGTTCCAACTATCAGGTTGTCAAATGTCCTTAATAAGTAAAGTTGAATCAGATGTTTTGACATTGGAAGAGTGAGACACACTATACCAATCATAAGCCAATTTGTTTACCAAAGATGAGATTTCCTATTACCAACTCAAAAATGGAACCCATCATAAAGAGCAACAATGACTTTAATGATATTGTGTCAAACTACCGAGGCATGCCCAACCTTTCAATTATCAAACAAAACACCATGCTGAATTTTATTATGAGACATAGCTTGTACACAAAGCTTATGTTGATCATGAAATAAACTCCACTCCAACTTCCCAACAACACTTGAATTTCCAAACCACCGTAATGCTTAGGAGTAGTAACAATGTTTCAATTATTACAAGGCTTCAGTCCCTGTTCTCATCATTCTTCCTCCAAATAAAATTTTGAGTAATCTTATCAATTCTATTACAAACAGTAGTATGAAGATAATGAATATGCATAATATACAAACAGTAGTATGAAGTTTAAGAACCCAAGTTCGTGTAAAATAATCTCAAGAAAATACCAATTCAACTTATCATAAGATTTTTCAATATCAATTTTGAAAGCAATGATACAGTTTCTAGAGCAAGAGTGGTGCATGAAATGAACAACCTATTGCATAAGAATGACAATATCAGAAGTTCTACGCTTAGGGATAAATCTTCTTTGGAGAGGACTCAAATGATCATCTAGAAACGGGTGAAATTGGGTAACCAACACTTTGGTAATTATTTTGAAGATGAAATTGAAAATGCTAATCGGGAAGAAAATTTTAATTTAGTTGGCATATCCTCCTTAGGAATGAGGACAATTAGAGTTTCAACAATAATTTCATCAATCTCCATAATAAGAAAATATTTTTAAACCAAAGCCCAAACATCATCTCTTACAAGAACCCAAAAATGCTTAAAGAACATAGGTTGAAATCCATTAAGTCCTAGAACTTTAAATAACTTCATACTAAAGATTACCATTTTAACCTCATCTTTCAAAAAAAAGTTAGAGTTAAGACATCTATATCCACTTGGCTAAGACGAGGAATGAGAGGGACAATAGAGCTCTCAGAAATAGTCGATGAATCAACAACAAATAACTCTTTGTAAAAATTTGTAGCCTTATCATAAAGTTTAACTTTATCGTTACACCAACTACCATCTTCTAAGAATAGTTTTGTGTTGGATTTGTACTCCCTTCCTATGTGGAAAAATACTTAAATATGATTAGTTTATTTGTCTCACTTATTTAAGTGGAGAGGATCAATTTCGGGTTGAAAGAGATAGAGAAAAAATAAAGATTCAAAAGAGATAAAAGAGGAGAAAAACTCATTCTCATTTTTCTGCAACCAGTCTCACTATATCGATGATCCTCAATTTTTTAACCGTTGGATCGAGCTAAAACTTGGTGGACAGGTTCGTAACACGTATATCTAACTTTTTACCGTATAGAATTTCAAAAAAAAACCTCTGAGGTAAAAGTTATTTGCTTCACATGGAAGCTGAATATTTGAAAAAAACTATCGGCTTTTTTATTATTATTTATAAGCTAGTTTGCTTTGTGATTTGTGGTTGTTAGAGCTAGTTTGTCAATCACTTTAAGACTCTCTTGTACCATTAATTGATTATAGTGGAATTATTTCTTTGGTCAGAATGAATCGTGGTTTTTTCTCTCATATTGAAGGGTTTTTCACATTAAAAATATTGGTGTTCTTTTGTGTTTTTATTTGTTCGATTTGTCATCTTATATTTGTTGTTGATCCTCAAAGTTCCTACAAGTTTGGGGAGTTTTATGTCTGTTGCGTATTGGTTTATTATTGTGTCTTAATTTCTAATCTTACCGGAATCAGAATTTCAATCAGCGGCCAGCAACACGTCACGAGCTCCAAATTCGCCATGGTGGAGAAGAGGAGAAGGTGTACCTGCAAGACACTCCGGTGTCAAAGTAAGGTTCAGAGAGAGAAAGCAAGTACAGAATAGTGATATTGGATTTAGAATACCTGACCCTCTTGTGAAGGAGGATATTTATAATGTGCCCCCAACGCTGGGTCAAGGTCATCTGTTGTGGGCTAAATTGTTAGGCACACAATGAGTGACTGCCAGGATCCTACGTGAAAGTAGGGAAGACCTACACGTGATTTTTGTCCTACGTCAACTGTCCCACGAACTCCGAGAAGTGGAGGACTTGTTCTCGAAGGCAAAACCGTTGCACGAAAGACGGGTTCAGTTGTGACGTGCTCCTTGCGTAGGAAGCACGTGGCGAACGTGTGGAAAAAATGTGCTCCGCAATTATGCTGGATTGGGCCTGTGTTGTGCATTCTTCAACGCGGAGATAGGCTGGATTGTGTCCGACGCTGGGTCAGTCTCAGGCTCATTCTAAAACAATTTCCTATCATTTTGTTATGCTTGTAACGAATCTCACTTTGAGTGTGGAAGAATTTAGTGTCACGATCGCCTATCTTCACTCATTAAAATTTTAAATTTAACATAATAATAATTTGTTTATTAATGATATTTTAATTATTTGTTGGAGAAAAGAAATTATATTCAACTAGATAATAAATAATTAAAGGTATTATAAAATAAATTATAATATTAAGTTGTGTGTTAAATTAAACTTGACTTCCAAAACTTCAAACTTTGAAAAGTTCTAGTAGAGTTATGAAAGCTACCATATTCTCATTTCACATTATGCTGAATTCAACATAGCTTATTATCTATGTTCCTACTTCACACCATAGGCGAGGTGGAGACTTCGGTATATCACATCCTATTTCTATAAACACCTTATCATATCTCAAGCCCCTACCTTACCTTAGCTAAATTCCTTTCTTCAACATGCCAACACTTGTTCAATTATTGATATCAACTTTAGTACTTTTCTCTTTTATGCCCGTTTTATCTCAGGTTAACCAGTTCTTGTATGCAGGATTCAAGGATATTGATCCCAAAATTCTAACCTTGAATGGATTTGCAGGGATAGAGAAAAATGGAATATTAAGATTGACAAATCACACAACCAATGTAATTGGTCATGCTTTTTACTCACAGCCTTTTCAGCTGAAGAACTCAACAACTGCCAAAGCTTTCTCATTTTCTTCATCTTTTGCTCTTGCTGTTGTACCTGAGTATCCTAAACTAGGTGGTCATGGCATGGCTTTCACAATAGCTACTACTAAGGATCTCAAAGGTTCACCTATTCAGTATCTTGGTCTTTTCAATTCAAGTAATGTTGGTAATTTCTCTAACCATGTTTTTGCTGTTGAGTTTGACACTGTCCTAGACTTTGGTTTTGATGATATCAATGATAACCATGTTGGAATAGACATCAATGGTTTGAAATCCAATGCATCTGTTACTGCTGGCTATTACACTGATGATGATTCAACAAAACAACATGTTCTTAATATCAAAAATGGGAAACCAATTCTAGCTTGGGTTGATTATGATTCTTTATTGAATCTTGTGAGTCTTACACTTTCTCAAACTTCAACCAAACCCAAGAAACCAACCTTGTCTTTTCATGTTGATCTATCACCTATTCTTCATGATACTATGTATGTTGGATTTTCTGCTTCAACTGGTTTGCAGCTTGCTAGCTCTCATCACATCTTGGGTTGGAGCTTTAAAATCAATGGACAAGCACCACTACTTGATTTGTCTTCACTCCCACAACTTCCGCAACCAAAGGAGAAAAACACTTCTCTGATAACCGGTCTTTCGGTCACAGTTTCTGTTGTTGCATTGTGTTCTATAGCTATAGGTATTTACATTTTCAGAAAAATCAAGAATGCTGATGTGATAGAACCATGGGAGCTTGAAGTTGGGCCGCACAGATACTCGTATCAAGAGCTTCACAAAGCTACAAAAGGTTTCAAGGAGAAAGAGCTACTTGGGCAAGGTGGTTTTGGGAGAGTTTACAAAGGGACACTACCAAATTCAAATATTCAAGTAGCTGTTAAGAGAGTTTCGCATGAATCAAAACAAGGACTAAGGGAATTTGTGTCTGAAATCGCCAGCATAGGCCGACTTCGCCACAGGAACTTGGTTCAGTTACTCGGATGGTGTCGACGCAAAGGCGACCTCCTACTTGTGTATGACTTCATGGCTAATGGAAGCTTAGACAAGTACTTGTTTGAAAAGACAAAGATTGTGTTAAGTTGGGAACAAAGGTTCAAGATAATTAAGGATGTTGCTTCAGGTCTTTTGTATCTACATGAAGGCTATGAGCACATGGTAATACACAGGGATGTTAAGGCTAGCAATGTTCTGTTAGATTCTGAACTCAATGGAAGATTAGGTGATTTTGGTTTGGCAAGATTATATGAACATGGTGCTAATCCAGGGACAACAAAAGTGGTAGGAACCTTAGGCTATTTAGCACCAGAGTTACCTAGAACAGGAAAATCATCTACAAGTTGTGATGTTTTTGCATTTGGTGCATTTTTGCTTGAGGTTGCTTGTGGGAGAAGGCCTATTGAGCCAAAGGCATTACAAGAAGAGTTGGTGTTGGTGGATTTGGTTTGGGAAAGGTACAAAGAAGGGAGAATAGTTGAAGTTGTGGACAAGAAGTTGAATGGAAAGTTTGATGAAAGTGAGTTAATGATGGTATTGAAATTGGGATTGATATGTTCAAATGATGATCCTATTATAAGGCCTAGTATGAGACAAGTAGTGAGGATTTTGGATGGAGAAGTTGAGTTGAATGGTGACTTGATGAGAAAGCCAGGAGGTATTGATCAAGATGAGGGGTTTGATGAATTTTTGCACTCTCTTGCATTTTCCTCAAATGATGTTAGGAGTTCAAGCTCTTATCTTGGAAATACAGACACTGATACTTGTTATATCTCTTTTCCTAGTTCACCTCAATCACTTCTCAACCCTAGAGGAGAAACATGATGACCTCTAAAATATATGAGAAGCACTTTCTTTACATGCGCATAGTGTGTGCGTGCTACACAGAATCAAAATATTTAGAATTTTGTATTATTGAAATGTAATTGATCTTTCTGCTCTTATATGTAAAACTTGATGTTAATCAGTGGGAGAATTGTATAAAAAAAATTAGTGAAAATTGTCATAGTGTGATTATAGAATGATTTTTATCTAAGTCTTAATTAAAACTGAAAATCTATTAAAGATCTTTAAATGATCATTTTCTTAAGTTCGCGTATTATGCCATAGGGATGAAAAAATGTTCGATCCCTCTGTTCCGTTCAGGAAACAGAATTGTTGGTGCATATCTTTTATGCGGTGTGCAATTATCCTGAATGGACCTGTAAGGTTGACACCAACATCCAAGTCAGTTTATGAATAAAAGAGATAGTGTGAATTATGATTCGAATCATACCGTTTTTGTTGTTCAAGCTATGGTATTTATGCAATGGGCAAATATTGGACTAAATTGTCTTATACCGTATTGGACCTATGGTCGGCCTAGAACCGAACATGGTCGGGATTCTAGTGATATAGAACTTAGGTATTATCTTGTTTTTAAGAGTAGACCTGTAGTTTCTAACCATCATTACCTTTTGCATGACATCTTGGAAGAAACGGTGAAACCAGGGTGCGTACTGCGTAGGCTTGGTGGGGCCAGAAGGCGCCCATATATATCACTAGGTGGGTCTTGAACTGGTGGCAACAACTTCTAACTTTGATAGCGCCGAGAAGGTGGAGGAAGCTCACATAGAAGTAGGTCCCTCTTGTGATTGGTCACTCTCACATGTTGAAGTTGGCAAGAGGTTCTGCAACTATTTTGATGAATGTTTTTCCCTTTCTATGAGTGTCTTCTTACTCGTATAAAGTTCATGTTTCCCTTCAGTGGGTTTGTGATAGAGTTACTAAGTCATATGAAGTTTTCTCGTCACAGCTGCATTCTTCCATCTAGATGTTTTATAAAGTATTCCAATAAAAGTGTGCATATCGATATAAAGAGTCATCCATTGGCCTCTTTTCAATTTGTTTTTTGTGTCTTGTATTTCCAAGAATCCCGACATGGGTAAGGCATGAGTTTATTTCGCCAAGTACCTAAGATGTTTGGAATTTACATGGATAGGTGGAAGAACCTAAAAGATCATTTTCTTATGGTAACCCCTTGAACTCCAGAGGCTCGCTCAGTCTTTTGCATGGGTTCCAAATCCGTTAGATGGAGAACATATTCTAATTGGTGCTTCTGCCTTTTCATTGGCCAAGTGCAAAGGGAAAATACAAAAGTATTGAATTTGGAATCATTTTATTTGGGAGTCGCATAACTATGATGTCCCCTTTGAGAAACTTACGCCAGAAGAGATGTCAAGAGATGTCAACTGTCGCTTGCGCGAAAATAAGGTGCCGGCACAACAGAAGAGTCGTCACCTTTCGTTATTTATCCCTCAAAGCGGGAAAGGAAACGATCGGAAAAACTTGACGAAAAAGGGTAAGACAAGGTCGTCGCAACCATTGTCTATGTTCGGGAGTCGGTTACGCAAGGGGAAGGTATTAGCACCCCTCACGTCCGTCGTACTCGACGGGATCCTCGCTTGTTGTGTTTACTTGGACGGGTTGGTTTTATTCTATCTACCTATCAAGACTGGCTGAAAAAGAAAAGAAAAATGACTCGGCAAAGCATCGCGCTTTATGCCTACGTATTCTCATCAGAGAATGAGAAATCAGAGTCAACGTAGTTCGGCCTACAAAGGGTTATGGGGGAAGGTAGCTCGCCAAGACATCGCCATCTTGTGCCTACGTACTCTCAACAGGTATGAGAGATCAGAGCATACGTAGTTCGGGAAACTACGGTTTATTTCCTGTCTTTTACGAAAGAAGTGTTTTTTATTGTGTTTGCGATTTCAACCGCACTAGAGACTATGACCTGAGAGTGAATGCGTCGCATGTCACCCAAAGGGTACCATACTAAACATCCAGACTGTGGAAAAGAAACTCTCCCACAATCCTTTCTCAGATAGCTTAAGGCTCGTAACGTACGAAAGAAATCATTCATGATTACTGTATCTTAAACTGTTTTGAGATGAGAAGAGAACAGGCCCAATCTAGGAGGGAGACTATCAAGTCCTACTGTTATCATGCCATGGATTCATCCTATGGTTGAGGTTTGAACAGGGAACTCCTAGAAGTTGTCATGCATAGGTTTCAACCCAAAATTCTATCATCAAATCCTTATCCAAGGAAATGAGAGTCCTAAGGGATCATGTCAATGATACACCAAAACAGACAAAGCATCAGCTTAACAGTAAAATGCATGCAATGCAAGTGAGGGAGGAAATGTGTGTGGGGCTTCAGCCTCCACAAGCTCATCTCAACCTCAAGTCAGAATGAAATAACAGTAATCATACTGAAATATAAAACAACATGCTATCAAGCAATAAACAGTAAACTGCAATCATACAGATAAAATGAAATGAAATGCCATCAGGCAAACAAATCACATGGGCAAGGGAGCTGGGCTCTACCGAATACCCGCAAGCAAAGCCACACAATAACAATACAAGCAGAGGGAGCAACTCAACCTCTAGTGCAATCATGCTCCTAGATTCTACTTATTCTAGATATGGACTTAATCTAATGCAACAGACAAGTCAAACAAAACACAGCAATACAGAAAAGAAAAGAGAAAACAGATCAACTCCTCTCTCAACTCCAAGCTTCAGCTTCTCCATCAGCAACTCAGTCTTCAGACTTCAATCACTTGACAAACATCAGTTTGCTTTTCCAGGTTTCAACCCTACAACATGAGTTTCAACTCATCTTCTCCCTTAAGCTTCAGCTTCTTGATCAGCTCCACCTTCAGGCTTCACTTAATCTTCAGGGATCTTCAAGTATCAACTTGATCTTCATGCTCTTCAAGCTTCAGCTGGAATGGCAATCTTCAAGGATTCATCTTCTTCAATACTCTTCCTAATCCTTAACCCTAAAACAACAAAAAACAAAAGAAGAACAAGCTACCAAGCTCCTCAATGCATCTTCAAATCTTCTACTATGCTCCACAATGCTCCACAATGAGATACCAAGCTTCTCAAGCTCACAAATCAAAGCAACTAAAACAACCATGCCCTAAAGGCAACACAAACAATCAACCAATACAAAAATCAACCAAAAATAGCATACTATTATATTAAATCCTAATATAATTTCTAAGAGATCCTACATACCTACCCTTAATATCCATATATGCCCCATAGTCTAAATTGTCCTAAAAACCCAAAATCTAAAGTTATTATGAACCTATGTTGAAGTTTTAACCTAATTCTACACTACCTAGAATTATCTAATCAAAACTATCCTAAATATCATCACAAAAATATGGAATTAATCCAGGGGAACCTAAAACATATATCTAATTATTCTAAAAAGATTGAACTAAAAATACTAAGGGAGCTACCTAAACTAAAATCTACAAAATCAAGGCATCAACTTAAAAGAATTAAAAAGCAATTAAAAGTAAAAATATACAAAAAATATAAAAATAAAATAAAATGGCAATTTTATGATTTTATATTTTTCTTGACAAAAAATGGAAAGTGGAGAAAAAATTCCCAAGCAAAAATATTCTTTTTTCTATTTATTATGGATTTTCAAAGTATGACAAAAATTGGAGAAAAAATAATATGAAAAAGATGCAATGGGGTGCAAACAGAAATAAAATCCAGTTAGTTCTATTGATGGGCCCAGACATGGGGGTGCGTATAGAAACGCGCCTGGCCCAGAATCCAACTCAGAAAACAATTAAAAATCAAAAGGAAAAAGAAAAACTGAGCGGTGCAGAAAGAAATGAATTACAGTTAAAATCTGGACTGGGCTCGATTGGGGGGTGGGTATAGAAAAATTACACGAAGCCCAGACTGCTGCTTAAGTGAAACGCAGCGTTTCATCGCTGCTGGCTTCCCTCTCATTTCCGAATTAAATCCACGCCGCTGGATCATCTCCTTAGTCAAATGGTCATGCGCGATCTAACGGCTAAAACTTCGTCTTCAACCTTGGATAGCTTAGGGTTTCAGAAAAAACCATGAACACACATGCCATGCACAGATCTTCTGCCCCTTCGTTCTCCCTCGTTTCTCCACCAATTCTCAACATGTAAAAACCAAACTTAATCCATTTTCCGAGCTGAACAACACTATGACCTTGGTTTGTATTGAAACACTCTAAATCATGCAAACCGAATGGTGTAACTCATGAACCTCAAAATATCATCAAACTTCAACTTCAACCAAACTCAGAATTCTTTACATAAAAATGATCCTTGCATTACACTCATCAAAATCAGCCATTAAACTAGCATTATCCTTCACTATTTCACACGATCTTGCTCATCCAAGAATTGGCACCCATTAATGAAACTTCACCAAATGCTCCCAAATTCATCAAAAATGACCACCTAATTGTCTCTAACCAATCTAAACTAATAATTTACCCTAGCCATGCCTAGATTAGGGTGTAGAAATGGTTTTGCATACCTGGCTTCTTGGAATGGTAGGTGATGAAACTCTTGCTTTCAGACCTTGCAACTCTTCAAGAATGCTCCCTAGATGATGAATATTCTTCTGTATGCAAAAGGTTTGATGTAGAAAGCTTGTACTTCAAGATCCAATGGCAATGGCTTCTTTGCAAATTCAATGTAAACACCTTCAAATCTTCATCAATGGAGCTTCCACTCAATATGAACACACTCAGAAATATGTATGGAGAAGATTTGTGAAGAAAAATGAGATAGCAATGAAGAAGAATCAAGAGATTCAATATGATTTGCTATTGAGGAATTTTTGATCTCACACTCTCTTCTCTACCACAATCAACACCAACCTTGCACCAATGCAAGTTGCAAACATTATATAGAATGACTTAGAAACCTCTAGAACCATCTAGGATCATCTAGTGAGAACTTGAAGTTTTCATGTCATGGT